GAAAATGAGGCCCACGCTGCAGCGGGAGCACGATTCGGAACGATTCGGGAGCAGAAATGAGGCCGGCGCCTCAACGAGAGCAGCATTTTGGGAAAAAATGACGCCGGCGCCTCAGCGAGAGTCGTTTCCCGGGATTTCCCAGGCATCCTGTGTAAAAAAACAGTACGCGGAGGGTGCGCGGCCATCACCCGGACGCCATTAGGGGAAGAGGGAGAGTATTTTCATATTGAGTAATTGTGGAGGAGGTGGAGGACGAGGAGAAGGATGGAGGAGGAGGAGGAGGAGGCGGAGGAGGAGGAGGAGATGAGGAGGAGCACGAGCAGGAGGAGGACGAGGAGGGAGGAGGGGAGCAGGGGATGGAGAGAAAGGAAGAGTCGGAGGAGGAGGGGAGGGGAGGAGGAGGAGGAGGAGGAGGAGGGGGAGGGGGAGGAGGAGGAGGAGAAACAAAAGGGGCAGAAGAAGAAGGAAGGAAGCGATACAGGGCGTGCACGGTCAGGGGTGAGGAGGAGGAGCGGAGGAGGAGGAGGAGGAGGAGGAGGAGGAGGAGGAGGAGGAGGAGGGAGGAGGAGGAGGAGGAGGGAGGAGGAGGAGGAGGTGAGGAGGCAGGAGGAGAAACAAAAGGGCAGAATAAGAAGGAGGGCGATGGCGGCACGGCCGGCGGCACGGCAGGAGGTGAGCGGTAGGGAGGAGCAGGAGGAGGCGGAGGAGGAGGAGGAGGGAGGAGGAGGAGGAAGAGGAGGAGGAGGAGGAGGAGGAGGAGGAGGAGGAGGAGGAGGGAGGAGGAGGAGGAGGAGGAGGAGGAGGAGGCAGGAGGAGGAGGAGGAGGAGGGCGGAGCAGCAGCCAGGCGAAGGAGGAGGAGGAGGAGGCGAGTAGAATCAGGAGGAGGAAGGAGGTGAGGAGAGGAGGGATGAGAAGGAGGAGAAGGGAGGAGGAGAGGAGGAGAAGAGGAGGAGGAAGAGGAGGAGGGGGAGGAGTGGGAGGAGGAGGGGGAGGAGGAGGAGGGGAGGAGGAGGAAGAAGAGGAGGGAGGAGGAGGGAGGAGGAGGAGGAGGAGGAGGAGGAGGAAGAGGAGAAGCAGGAGGAGGACGAGGAGGAGGAGAGGAGGAGGAGGAGGAGGAGCGAGGAGGAGGAAGAGGAGGACGAGGAGTAGGAGGGCGAAGAGGAGGACGAGAAGGAGGAGGAGGAGAAGGAGGAGGAGGAGGAGGGGGAGGAGGATGAAGAGGAGGAGGAGGAGGACGAGGAGGCGGAAGAGAAGGAGGAGGAGGAGGAGGAGGAGGAGGAGGAGGAGGAGGAGGAGGAGGGGGAAGAGGAGGACGAGAAACAAAAGAAGCAGCACAAGAAGGAGGAGGAGGGCGAGGGCGTGCACGGCAGGAGGGGGAAGAGGAGGAGGAGGCGGAGGCGGGCTCGAATGAGAGCACCGCTGCTGTCCAGCAGAGCAGCGGCTCGACTCTCAGAATCCGCAGGCCCGAATTGACATACTCAGGCAGCGCAGTGAAACAATCAGCAGCCCCAGAACGTGCCGTCGCTCGGACGTTCGTTCCTCGTGCATGGCTCGGTTCCGCGCGTGCTTTTGTTTGGTTGCGAGATGATCCAGGATGCTCCTCGATGGTCCTCGCCGAGAAAAAAAAACACACACGTCCGAGCGACGAATAAAGACTCGCTGCGCAGGAGCAGATCTACAGTGTCCGCGCGCCCGATCGCATCGCCCCCTGGCGCAAGTCGTGCGCTGGTGGAGAGGCAGCGCGTGCAGCACATGCAGAAAACATCGAAGGCACACATCGGAGGGCTGACACAGAATCCGTGGCACGCCAGTCACGCGAACCCATCAACGAGCTGCTCCCGGAGACGTGCAGGGCCCTTGCGCGAGAGAAGCGCGAAAAGCACGCACAGCTTGCAGAGCGGACATCGTGTCATCTCCTCCTCCTCCTCCATCTGCTCCTCCTCTTCTTGTTATTATCAGCACACGTATTGCACTTCATCTCCGTCTGATGATTAATCGTACTACTTGTATGAATAATGCTATTAATTCTGTGATTTGGAAGTACTAGTAATGCTAACAGCATGATTCGCCTTCATCGTATTAGTAGTAGCCTTCTTATCAGTATAAGTTTAGTAGTATGTTTATTATTAGTCTTCTGCATCCTCTTGGTCTCAGTATTATTTATATGAGCCGTCGTTTTAGTATCACTCGTCTTCTTCTAATTCGTAGGCGTCTTATTATTATTCCTCCTCCTCCTCCTCATCATCATCATCATCATCATCCTCATCCTCCTCTTGCCCCTCCCGGGATAGACGGGGCGCGACGCAGCGCCTGCGCTGCAGGGAGCGGCCGGCACGAGGCGGCTTACTTCGACAGCTTGGCCAGCTGGGCCCGCAGCGCGCTCAGCTCCCGCTCGGCGCGCTCGCGACGCTCCCGCTCCTCCTCCAGCTCCAGCTGCAGCACCGTGGACGGCACGGCCTGCTGGCGGCGCGTCCGCCAGCAGGGCGGGGGGGGGGCTCCTACGAAGGAAGCCTGCACCGCGGGCGCGCACGAGAGAAGAGCACGACACTCCTCCTCCTCCTCCTCCTCCGCCTCCTCCTCCTCATCCTCCTTCTCCTCCTCCTCCTCCTCCTCCTCCTCCTCCTACTCCTCCTCCTCCTCCCCCTCCTAGATATCTTGGAGCACATCCTCTGGCCACCCTTGAGGTTACCCGAGGTGCCCCCCAGGGCTTCGGTGGGTCCCTGGGGCCACCGGGGACTCGGAGATGTCCGTGGGGCACCTGCTGGCAGTAGCCGACGTCATGTCTGACGTGCCTACTGCAGTGCAGAGGGCACACACTGGGGTTCTCGAAGCCCCTCCTTGCCTTCTGAAGACGGCCCGCTCCCCCCTCGTCGCCCGCCACCCCGACCAGATCCCCACGCAGAAGGAGTCCCAGAAACTCCTCCAGGGGTCCTCTTTTATGGCCTTGTTGCCAACCTGCGTTCGGCCGTGGCCACGAGTGAGCGAGCAGAGACACATGTACGCGTAAGCCCTCCGCGGCCCCACGTGCACGAGTGACCGCGCTCAAACGCAAGCCAGCGGGAAGCTGACGACGAGCGCGTACGCACATCTAAGCGGCTGGCCTCTGGAAACAGCAGAATCATGTTTTATCGTTTCCGCAAGTCTGGCTCGTCAGCACGAAAGCGCTAAACAAATAACCGCGGCGCGACCCGAACTAAGGGAAAGTTTCCAAAGCGGCATTGATTAGCATTGCTCGGCATTGCATTGCTTTGCTTGGCACTGTTTTTACGTTGTTTGGAATTGCGTTGCATTGCTTCATATTACTGGACATTGCTTTGCATTGTCTGGCATTGTTTATCGCTTGGCATTGCTTGGCACTGCTTGGCATTGCTTGGCAACCCGACAGACAGAACACAAGACCAAGGAACCCGAAAGAACACGAGGAACCCTGGCGAACCCGAGCAAGGCCGGGCAAGGCCAGCCGTCATAAGCAAAGATGTAACAAGGACAGGGCATCCGAGGAACCCATCCGGCGCAGGCCGTCCAAGACCCCACTCGGCAAAGCCCAACCGGGGAACTTCTCCCAGAACCGAACACAAAAACGGCGCTGGAATCGGAACCGGAACCGGAACTGGGACTGGACAAGAAAAACGGCGAAGGAATCAAGAACAGCGGAATGGAGAAGGGAACCGGCAAACAAAAAAACTGCCCTGTCGTCTCCAGAGCCATACAAATTAAGATCCTGAGATCCCACGTCTCGACAACATGCAACATCGCGAAAAAACGCGACCAGAGCTCCCGACACCATCTTGCTGCGTCTCGTTTCACGCTGGATCGATCGCCCTCAGCCTCTTCTGAAAGATTGGAGCAGGGCGAGATGAGTCGGCGGCACGCACAAGGGGGTAGGGGGAGAAGGCTTCTCAGAAGGAGGCTGCTCCTTAGAAGCAGCGGGCCTTGCGTTTACAGACAAGGCCCGCGCCTTCTGAGATGCAGGGGTGCTTCTAAGAAGCCCTCCCCCCTCCCTCACCCTTAGGTCGGGCATGTCCACCTACAGGCGGATGTTGGACGAAAAATGAAAATACAAAAAAAAAAAAAAGACTTATCAAACAAATAATCGACAAATCGTCCCCAGAGTATTGTTTGACTATTTGGGACTGTTCCTCCTGTAGAGGGACACGCCCGACTTAACCCTACCCCCCTTTGCGCGCCGCCGACTGAGGCACCGGCAGCTCGCAACCGACCCCTGGAACCCTCCAGCCAGGGGCCCAGGCGCACGCCTTCCACAGCAGAGCGGGGTGCTTCTTGGCATGGGCCTCCACTGTGACGCGCATGGCGCACGATGAGGAGGAGGAGGAGGAGGAGGAGGAGGAGGAGGAGGAGGGCGAGGAGGAGGAGGAGGACGAGAAGGAGGAGGGGAAGGAGGAGGAGGAGGAGGAGGAGGAGTTTCTTGTCACCAAAGGGGGGGTCCTTCCAAGCTGCGCCTCCAGCCGCGGCGGCGAGCACCCCCCCCCCCCCCCCCCCGCCCCCCCTGCCCCTGAGAGCCGACGCAGCGAGCGCTTTCTTGACGCTTGGCGAAGCACGGCGCACGCGGGAGCGAGGGAGGGGCGGAGAGGAGAGAAAGGCCCGCCACGTCACCCCGAGGGTGCGCCAAGGACCGCCCCCCGCCCCCCCCCGCCGCCTCAGCCCTCCGAGGGGCGGAGAGGGGCGCCGCCCAAGGCGGCGGGGGTGGCTGGCTTCGCCCCCTGTGGGCAGCAAATGCTGCCTCCAAAACGGCGGCCGGCACCACTCGGGCATGGTCCGACGCACCCAGAAAAAAATGCTACATCCTGGAAAATCACGCCTCCAAGCCCCCGACGTCATAATTGCGTCGACCCCTGGAGGTCTCGACCTGGTCCCCTGGACTGGTTCTTCATCCCGAGTCGTTTTTGTCGGCGGCCCCGAGGGCGGGTAAGGGCCCCCCAGAGGCCGAAAACAACGAAGAACCTCCCGCCATGATTTTTGTTCCATTGCCCGAGAGGCTCTGAGCCTGGAGCCCTAGAGACCTCATCTTCCCGCGGCACTTCTCGAGCCGCATCGACCTGTGAGGAGCCCGTGGCACGACGCCGGGCGAAAAAACGCCCAGCTCGCAGAAGATTGAGTCGCCAGGATCTCATATAGGGTCTGCGCCGAGCTGGGGGATCCACAAGGCGGGAGGTGTTTGACCATTTTCGGCCTCGGGAGGCCCTCGCCTCGGTACCGTCAAAAAACGACGGACGAAAAACAGGTCCCGGGGAACAGGTCGGGACTTCAAGTGACCCCGTCCTGAAAAAATCAGGACGTCGCATGTCTGGGACCGATACCGCTACTCCCCGGACCTCTCCTGGGGCGCCTTCTGACCAGGACCTCGAGGCCAAAATCAACGAAGGGCGAGAACGGCCGACAGGTCCCAGCATGGGTGTACCTCTTCTCCCTCTGGCGAGCGGGCCTGCGACCAGCAGCTCGACGAGCGCCGGGACGCGCCCGACAGCACCGAGCTCGCGGAGCTGGCCGGGCGGCTGGCGCGGCGCTCCGGCGGGGCACCGCGGCCGCCGCCGCTGGCGCCGGAGGCAGCGGAGGGAGCGGAGGAGCCAGGCCGCGGCACCAGCGCCGGCAGCGTCGGCACGGACGCGGAGGCCCCCAGGGTCCTCCCCTCGGATGGGCGACGCAGGCCCTGAGATCCTGGCGTCTCGATTTTTTCACAACGGGCTTCCCCGCTCAAGTTGGAGCCCCGGGACCCTCGCAGAGCGATGCGGCGCGAAAAGTGGCGCAGAAAGATAGGGTACGGGGCTGTGGTCGTGACTCCTGGCGATGCTGCGATTTTGTGGCAACGGCGGACCTCAGGGGAGAGGAACGGGCCGCCCCCAGACCCCCTCGGGCCATGCAAAAAAAAAGAAGAACACGACGGGACGTCTCTCGGTGCTCTTTCGCCCCCTGGGGGGCCTCACCGGGCCTCGGGACGGTCCAGGGGATGGGTCGAGACGTCTAGGAGCCGAAGTGTTGTTCTTGTTTTTTATACGGCTTTTTTATAAAAATGGAACAAATACATAAGAATAAGAGAAACACAAACACAAACGCAGCATGACGTCGGGGGTCCGGGGTCTGGGGCTCACGCGCGACGACAGGGCGGCCCTGCGCCGCGGCGTGCGCGGCCTGTCGAGCGTTCGGCGCGGCGAGCGAGGGCGGCAGCGAGACGGGAGGGGCCTCTCAGCAGCCCGCGCGCCTTCTGAGAGCTGCCCCGCTTCCTCGGGGAAGCCTCCGACAGCTCCTCCGGAGGCCCCGGGGGGGCCTTCCGAGCCTTCCACGAGGGTCCGCCCCTCCTCTGGCTGCCCCCCTGGGCGGCGGACTTCTTCCCCCCCCTTGCGAGCTCAACGGACTTCCCCCCCGAGCTCTGGCCTTCCCCCGCCTCCCGGGCTTCGGTCAGACTTCCCCCCCCCCCCCCCCGGGCTTCGAGGCCTTCCCACCCCCCTTCGGCCTGCCCCCGCGGGCTTCGGACCTATACTTCCTTCCCCCAAGGCTTCTGAGAAGGCCTTCCCCCCCCGTGCGAGCTCAACCGGACTTCCCCCCCGAGCTCTGGCCTTCCCCCCCCCCCGGGCTTCGGTCGGACGTTCCCCCCCCCCCCGGTTTCGAGGCCTTCCCACCCCCTTCGGCCTGCCCCCCGCGGGCTTCGGACAATAATTCCCCCCAAGGCTTCTGAACGGCCCCTTCGTGCTCCCCTCCCTTTCCGAGCCTCCTCAGAAGGCCTGGGGTTAGGTCGGGCGTGTCCTCCTACCGGCGGATGTTGGACGAGATAAAAATTTGTATCCCGCCAACAGTCGACCAATATTCAAGAATGATCAAAAAGTCGTCCCCAGACGATTTCTTTTTAATTATTTTTGAATATTCTTCCTGTAGAGAGACACGCCCGACTTACGCCTGGGCACTTCCCCCCCAGACTCGCCGCCGAAGCGCGGCACACCACCGCCCACGGGAGTGCCGCCCATGCGCGGCCGGCCTCACGGCGGGCAGCTTCTGCGCGAGGGGGCGCCTGCGCCAGTCGGCCCCGTGTCTTTCCTGAGATCCGACGCCTCGGAAAAATGACAGCGAGGGCATTGAATAAGGAACTATTGGATCAGGAAGCCAGGGTCTGGAAGCTGGTGTCATTCCAAGCGTAGGTCGGCCATAGAGATCACCGCCGCCCTCATCAGATCAGGAATCTCCAGGGTCTGAATCCTCCTGGGCACATTCACTCAGCAACGCCCCCTCCGTAAGCATCGTGGAAAATTGTAACATCGTGAAAAATCCCGACTGGAGTCCCAGACCCTACCTTCCCGCGTCATTTCTCGAGCCGCATCGACATTTGAGGGTCCCGGGACCCGAAGGTACAGCGCGAGAGCGCGGGGCTCGAAACTATCGAGAGACCCCAGGATCTCAGGGTTCTGCGTCGCTCAGATGCGGGCGGCGCCAGGGCGCGGCACTCGTCATTCGTAGTGGCCCAGGCTTCTTAATGAATGCGATGCCGAGGAGCGCGACGGCTGCCGCTGCTGCTGCCCGTGCTTCTCGCTGGTCGCCGCCTTGGC